CAAGGGTAATTGATCAGGGAGGGGCACAAAGAGGCTTCTAAGGCTGTGGTATCCTCTCCTTCTTGATCTGATTCACTTTGTGAAAATTCATTAAGCTGTACACATATGAATCTGTGTATCTTGTTATACTTCCGTCAATATTTTTACATTAAGAAAAGGGGACTTTTGGATAGTGTTGAGAATGAACTGCTCTACGTGATCTGGCATGGCTTCCTCTCTACATGTATATTCAACTATATTTTTCTCCTCAATCACTTATCTACTCCAGCCGCACTGGCCTTCCTGAGACATGCCAAACTCTTTCTCATCTTAAGACATTTGCACTTGCTCTTCTCTCTGCCAGCAATGCCTATCTCTTTCCTATGCACACAGCTAATGTCCTTGCTTCATTCAGACAGCACCTCTTCAGAGAAGAGTTATCCGGCCACCTAATTTAAAATAACACTTCCCCAAATCATATTCTATCTCCTTATTCTATTCTCTTCACAGCACTTATCACTACATGCAATTTTGTGTTTGTTATTGATTTTTCCCACTAGGATATAACTTCCACTTGTGTGTGGGTCTGTATGTTTTGCTCAATTAATTTGGTTAAAAAATGAATGTTTTTAGAATTTCCTTAGGTTTCCTTTGTGGCTTGACACATAATCAAACTTTGTAAAGGTTCCACATGTGCTTGAAAATGTGATTACTTTGATGTGTATAAATTTCTCCATAACATCTACTTTGAGCTTATTACTCGTGTTATTCAGATAACCTACATCTTTGCTTATTTTCTGAGTTTGATTTGTCTGATTATATGAGGGGTGAATTAAAATCTTCAAATATAATAGTTTATTCATCTATTCCTCTCGCAGTTCTGTCAGTTATTGCTTTATAAATTTAGCATTTATATTAGTAAGCATGTTTATGACCATAAATGTTACATCTTCTTGATCTATTATTATTTTACTAGTAGGCTATATCTGTCTTTATCACTTGTGATGTTTTGCATCTTCGACTCTATTTTGTCTGATGTAATTGTTATTCTGGTTTTTCTTTTTTTTTTTTTTAAGACGAGATTTCACCATGTTGGTCAGGCTGGTCTTGAACTCCCGACCTCAGGTGATCCACCCACCTTGGCCTCCAAAGTGCTTGGATTATAGGTGTGAGCCACCACGCCCAGCCTATTCTGGTTTTTCTTTGATTATATTTCTGTGGTAAATCTTTTTTGATTTATTGATTTCAGCCTTTCTCTTCTCTTTTAAATGTGTCTCTTCTAGAAAATATCATTTTATTTTAAAAAGTCCAGTGTATGTATCTCTGCCTTTTAATTGGTGAGTTAAACTCGTTTGCATTTATTATAACAGAAAGGCCTATTTTGTGTTTATTTTTCAGGCTTCTTTTTAAAAAAAAATAGAGATGGGGTCTCACTATGTTTCCCATGCTGGTCTTGAACTCCTGGGCTCAAGTGATCCTGCTGCCTCGGCCTCCCAAAGTGCTGGAATTACAGGTGTGAGCCACCACATCTAGCCTTAGGCTTCTGTTTTTTTAGTATCTTTTTTATCTTCTTATTACAATCCATTGAATTGAGCAAAAAATTTTGTAATAAACTTGAAAATTATACTTTGTATTTTTAATTTTTCTGATGGTTACATAGAATTAAACATTTCATTTCTCAGCTTTCGTTTTTAAACATGATGTATGATTACATAAGTTCTGACCAATGAAATGTAAGCAGAAGTGTTGAACTTTCAGAATGGATTTGTTCAAAGGAACGAGGTAATTCCTCTTTCCTCTCCTTCCTCCTGTGACTGCCCTAAAATTGCTAACTAGAGCTCCAGCACCTTTATTGAACCATGAAGTGATCCTGAGTATGACAGTACTGGACCGTGGTGAAGAAAGCTAAGAGTGTGGCTCCATGATGACCTCATGGATTCATCATGCTATAGTCATGACTACTTACAAGGCAAACTTCTTTTACTTGAAATAGAAACTTCCTTAAGCCACTGTTATTTGGGATTTTTCTGACATGCAGCACTGCTCATTTCCAGGAGATGCTTATTTTATTGTAAATTCCTAGCCTGTGGTGGAGGCAGGGGACAGTGCGGGTGTATCTCCCTTAGCCTATACCCAATCTGTGGCACTTAGCTTTTCCCTCTAAGTTTCTCCTACTCCAACAGCCATACATAGTGGGTTTTCTCAAAAGTGGAGCCTAAGACAAAGACTTAGGTGAACTACTGTAGGTAGTTCACTTCAGATCACAGAGTGAGGAAGTAAGGAGAATGAGAGGGAAGGAGGAAAAGCATTAGAAGTCACCACTGTGGTCACTGGGTACTTGATCCCACAGGAAATCCTGAAGAGTGTTCAGAACACTTCCTAGAATTGCTTTCCACAATTATCCACCAGAACGACAGGGCACTGCAGTATTTACCCATCAGATTCCATCCCCTGTTGGCTAAGGATTGCCCCTACAGTGCTAACTCTTCCTCGTTGTGCTTTTGGAAAGAGCAGGCTTGTCTACACAGAAAATTTCCAGTGGCAAAATTCTACAAAGGGAGCATGGGATTGAGGTGAGACACTGTCACCATGAGGTGGGTCTGAACATGCACAGAACTGCCCACTGCAGCTGCAATCAGAATGCACCAAGAAAATACGGCACTGGACATACCAGGGTTTTCACAATTTTTATGAAAGGTCTGAGATCCATCAGCTTCCCTTTTGTTTCTGTGGTAAATGAAGAACTGAGCTAATTTACCATCATACGTTGAAGCAGTCTCTCAATTTTTGAAACTCACTTCTCCCTGAACATCTTTTCTTTTCTTTTTCATACGTTGAAGCAGTCTCTCAATTTTTGAAACTCACTTCTCCCTGAACATCTTTTCTTTTCTTTTTTTTTTTTTTTTTTTTT